GAATGAGAGGGAGAGGGAGGTAAAGAGAGACAGAGACAACTGTAATGTATGTACTCATGTACATGGAGAAGTGCATGTCTATGCATACATGGGGCCAGATAACGATATCTTTCCTCTTGCTCTATCTCTCTCTATGTCAATCCCTTGAGACAAGTCTTCCACTGAACTTGAAGCTAAGTGGGTACTGGGTAGTAAGAAAGCCCCAGAGATCCTCCTCCTGTCTCTATCTGACCTTCCTCAAAGTATTGGGGTTATAGACACACTAGCATAGGCAGTTTTTTTTTTTTTACTAGATTCTGGGGATTTGAACTCAGGTCTCCATGCTTGCAAAGCAAGCGCTCTTACCTGCTATGCCAGATCCCCAGCCCCAGTAATGACTTTTTAAGGCACATATTACACCTAATTCCTCTTCTCTGGTCTCAGGACTTTAGTTTGTATCGCCAAAGGGCTTCCTAGAGCCTGGTGTTCCATCTATGGCGCTAGTCATCTGTCTGCCTTCTTCCATCCTCCTTTCGTGTGCCTTCCTGCGTGCTCCCAGTCACAGTATCCAAAGTGTTTCTGTCATGACCACACGGCTGTATTTTCAAAGTTAATGGTTGCTGGGCTGAGGATCTCATTCAGTAGTAGCGCATTTGCCTAGCAGGCACTAGGCCCTGGGTTTGACCCCACAGTACTGCCAAAACCAAACAAAAATCCAGTGGTTTTACCTGCACAGGCACGGCATGTCATTTCTTTTTGGGGGGGCCTATACAAGCTTTTTCAAAACGTCTAGAGGCAGAATTCTATTATAGAATTTTTTTCTTTACTAAAGAAATTCAATTAAGACGCATCAAGCTGTTGCGCTTACTTTTCTCAAGGAAGGAGTCTTCTCTCTTTCAAAAACTATTTCCTTATGTTTGGCATTTTCCATAAGAGTCATTTGATGCTTTACAATAGAAAATGTCTTCTTATTTACTTCTGAAAATACAAAAATACCAAAGCCTGGGGCATGGTCTAGGACTGCAGTGAAGCAGGCTGGATTCCTGCCTGGATGGATTCCATCCCATCCTTTGGGTTGGCTCGATGGTTATACTGCTTGGAAGACATGGTCCCCATGGGGGTTGCAGGCTTGTTGAGTAGCCCATGTTTGGGGACAGTGGAGTACACCGTTTTGGGAAAGCTGATTACAGACTTCCAACGGGGAGTGTCTCTGGACACCTTTCTGTGTGAGGCTAGAGGCCAAAGCAAAGGCAAGCACGCCTGGCCCAGAAATCTCTGTGACCCTGGGAGTTAAGGAAAAATCACTTTTCTTCTTACAAGGATTGATTGGCCAGCTTAACCCCTGCTGGGACTCACAGACCCTCCCTTGCATCTGCATCCAGCCAAGGCAGTTGCTGGCACTGGAGGGGTCTGTCAGCATCTCATTAGAATCCCCTATTGTCAGGGGCTTAGCATCCAGGCATAAAAAAAACTCGCGCCGAGCTAGAACTTGGCACACACGGCCACCGCCAGGAAGTGAAGTTTCCGTGTAAGATTGGGAAAACATCTGTTTGGCCCGTTTTTTTTTTTTTTTTTTTTTTTTTTTTTTTTTTTTTTTTTTTTTTTTTTTTTTTTTTTTTTTTTTTTTTTTAAGGCGTGTGAGAGCTAATGTAGGGAAGATGCCGGGCTCTGTGTTGGCTGGGATGCAAGGCAAACTTGACACAGAGAGAGCGAGTGTTGCCTCTGTTGCTGTTTTAACATCTCTGGCAAGTGCCCTATGGCATGGTCCAGTCACATCAGGCTCATTAGAAAAATGGAAGAAAAATAAGTGAAAAAAAAAAAACAAACCCGCATAGGGTTGTGTTTTCAGACATAAGCAATTGAACTGACGAAATCTTTTCCCCTGGGCTGTAAAGAATATTTCCCAGAGAAGTGAAGACCTCGCTGGTTAGAAATATAGGTCAGGTGTTATCGTAATGAACTCCACTGGGGATATGAGATTTTACAACAGGCGAATCTGATTGTAACGAAGGCGCCATTTGGAATCCCATTCACACTCTGCAATTCCCTCAGACCCTCCCTCCGAAGCTCAAGGTGCAAGCGGTCACTTTCTGGACCGCTGGGGTGATGGGGGTATCCCCTGAGGGCTCCTCCCCGTTGGGCAGGACACCATCCTGCCTTCCTACTTGAATGGCTGACTTAAAGATATGGGGTGTAATAACCGCCTTTCTGAGGTCACTTGACAGAGTGGGCAGACTGCTGCAGTCCTTGATGAATTATCCCGTAAGAAACATGAGGCAAATAATACCCAACTGAACATGCCACGCACATGCCACTAACTCCATAGGACGCACTGTGGAGTGCACATATTAGCAAACTATTTAAAATCTACAAAACAACTGCTTCATAGGCTCAACCTCATATATACACAAGCACCTGACCGAACCATGAGAAATTGCCATTTCTAAATATCAAAAAACGGCCAGATGGTGGCTGGCAAGATGGCTCCTTGGATAAAGGGGCCTGACGCCCCAAGACTGACGTGGGAGAGGAGAACCAACTCTTGAAACCTGTCCTCCGATCTCATACATGTGTTATGGCATTTGTGTGTGTGTGTGTGTGTGTGTGTGTACACATACATACTCACAAATAAGTAAAATAAATTTAATAAAATAATTTAAGGAATGCAGATGAAAATAATTCTGTCTGCTTCAGCCTAAGGATATTGTAAGGGTCTCAATATTTCATATAATTTAATAATTTTAAAGCCCAGCACTGTTAGTCTGGTGCCAGGTGTTGTGGTCCCCTCTGATCCCTTTACCTACGACGACTCTTGGAGCTGGTCATTGATCAACTCCTCAACTCTTAAAAGAGAAAGTGGTGATAATAACCATTGCTATATTCATGCCAAAAAGTGGTCGAGGGGCTCGGCCTGGGCTCGACATTGTTCTTTAGCCTGAAGAGAGGAACAGGTGAATTCACTGTCATCATTACTGCGTAGCTCTGCTTATGCGGTGTCCCTGTCCCGTGCCATCACACAATGGTGGGTCTGTTAAAGGGAGAGCCTCGTCGTCACACAAGGTACCTCCTTCATGACCACGTGTGTGGCAAACCTCCCCTGGTTGCGGCAGCTCAACTGTCCCCATGCCTTTTGAGTTCCCTAATCAGGTCATAAACAGATAGGCATGGCACAGGAAACGCTAGCTGCGGTAGCATTTTGTTAGCTGAGGAACAACAGCTCTTCCCGTAGAAAGGCACCAGTGCCCATCCTATGTTAATCCAGTTATTCTAAATACACTTTTTTCTCCCTTGCCTTGCTTTCCCATTAGTTCCCATATTATACATTCATACAGCCCATTTGATTATTGTCATTCTACCACATGCTTTTGGAAAAAGAAAAGTTTTTTTTTTTTTAAGTAGAATAAAAAACAAACCAATCAACGCCAACCTATTTTCATAAGCTGCTCTGCTCCAGTGAGTCTGGGCCATGTGACAAGAAACACGCACAGGACACGTGTTAGTTATACTAGAAGAAAGGGTCTGTGCTGCGTTTGGTGGCTTGGTCCTGTGTCCCCACCACACTGAGTAATATTGATTATATTAAAAGCATAGCTCAGAAATAACTCTGGAAGATGTGGGCCCAGGAACCAAGGGTCAGAAGGCAGTGAGAAATAGCTCCCAACACATGCTGCTTGAGCCATAACTGACAGGGCTGTGTGCTGTCCTTGACACGTCCTTGTTTCTGGCACGAGGGAGTCACTCTGGGTGAGGAGAGGACAGGCACAGGCCTTGTGACAACAGCCAACGTTTCAAGAGCGCTCTGCTCCATCACCCGGCTTCGCGGCGTCGGCATGTCCCCTGGCCTCAAGTATTCCCTGAGTAGGTTTGAAAAACACACACTCTTTCAGGCTCCTGGGACCATTGTGTAAGTTCCCAGCTGAGCTCCCAAAGCAACCCAAATGGGTTTTCACAACTTCTCAAGGCCTTGGCTTTGCTGCGTAGGCCATAGATTAAGGCTAAGAGGCTCTGTTCCAATCCGGCAAGCTGTTCCACACAGTCAACATCCATCTCTCTGGAGGTGCTTAATGGAGGACCGAGTCATGTCACAAAGTCAGAGCACAATACAGATGTCCTGTTCAGGGTCCCACTCCTCCCTGAGGAGCTATAGGCAGGAAATGGTTCCCCAACAATATGGCCATTGGCAAGTTACCCTTGATCAAAAAACTCTCCCTCCCTCAAGTGAGCTATCCAAAGTGAACGCAATGGTCCACAAACAAACTCAATACCATCTGACTTCTAAGGCAGAAAGGCTTTAGTGGGAAGGGTTGGGGATAAGAGAGGATAATGGGATGTGGGTGTGACCCATGTAGAGTAGATGTGAGAAACTATGGAAGAAAATAACAGATTAGGATGTGTCAGGAATGGGATGCCATCGATTCAAGGCCTGTTAAATTCTAGCTGTGTTGTAGCTGCAGCAACAAACTGCTTTGCCAGCAACATGTGGCTGAAATGAGCTAGTGCATGTGAAAAAATGCCCAGTGAAGGGGATGGAGAGGCGGCTCAGTGGTTGAGAGCACTGGCTGCTCTTACCGAGAGGATCTGGGTTCGATTCCCAGCACTCACATGGAAGCTCATGTGTCTATGACTCCAGTTCCATGGGATCTGACACCCTCATACATACAGACATACATGCAGGTAAAACACCGATGCACATAAGAATAAATAAATCATTTAAAAGAAGAGAAAATGCTCAGTGAAAGGCTCACTATTAGCCCAAATGAAATCTCCATTCCTCTCCCCCACATGTACTTTGTATAAGGGAATCGTTTCGATCCCTCTTCCTTCCCCAGGAGGACTTGCATAGACTGGGAGTTCGAGTCCAGCCAAGGGAAAAGAACAAAAGAGAGGAAGGGCATTTCATCAAGAAATGAGATGTCTCCCATTACCATGTGGGACACAGCTCTCCCCTAAAAGGCTGGCAGGTGAGACCTGGCAGGGAGGCTTACAGTGCCCGTGCCAGAAGGATGGCAAAGGTCACTTACTTCCGTATGGGGAGCCTGTGGGCGAGCCATTCAGAAATCCTGGCGATCCTGGCACCCCCAGGTTGGCCATAGGAACATTGCTGTAGCCGTTCATGCTGTTACTGGAGGTGCTGTAATTCGATTGCTGAGGCGTGGAGCTGGAGGAGTATCCCCGCGGGGAGATGCTGCTTGTGTTGCGGATGTATCCTTGACAACGAAAGAAACAGGCCAGGTAAACAAAGCGGTACCCACCGTCGGGCCAAATATGGCTGGTGCTCGTCCCCATCCAGATCATGATGCCACCGCTGCCAAGCAACAGCGGGAAGTGGAGCTTGCTTGCAGGACTTTGTTTTTAATTGACAAGTAGTCACTGTCCACTCCCCCTTTTTTTACATATGCATACAATGGGTAATGATCACACTGGGGTTGCTGGCACATCGAGCCCCTCAAATATTTATTACTTCCTGGTACTAGAAGCATTCAAAAATTTCTATTGCCTGTTTGGAATTCATGATAAACCATTGTCAACTCCTGTCACCTAGCCATGCTACAGAACACCAGAGCTTAATCCCCTTCTCGAGTTAATAGTCAGGCTCTCAGCTTTTGGTAATTTCTTTGCTCTACACAGGTCACACCTCCGGTACTTCCTCTTCCTTCTATTCATGTTGCTTCATGCTGTTTTGTTTTGCTGTATTTTATAATTTGATTTTTGAGACAGGACCTCACTATGCTTCTGCGGCTGGCTTGGAGCACAAGCATCCCAGACAGACTCAGAAGTATTGACCTTCTTGCTGCTGCACTTCCAGAGTGCTGGGACTACAGCTGTGCACCACCATGCCATAACCAGCTCCCTCCCCTCGGTGTCTCTAGTGCCCCCCACCATGGAGCTCATAAGCTCACTGGACATGGACATTGGAGTTCTACAAGATACTAATGGGAGGCGGCGGTGGGGGAAGAGACAGAAATCTTTAATAAATAAATAAATAAAAATTAAAAAAAAAAAGATACTAATGGCCACCACCGAGAATGTCATTCAGTGGCCAAACCAAGGTAGGCAGATGCTGTGCACCGAAGCCATTTTTTTTTGAAGATGGTCAAATAAAGGACCCAAGAAATTAATATCCTGCTCAAAACTTGCCAATCTAGTATTTTGCAAATGTAACACACCATGTGATCTTTCCTGGGGGGTGGAGCAGGGTGTCCTAGCAACGTCTCTGGGGTCATGTGTGTTCTGCAGGGCAGTTTGGAAATGGTACTTCAAAGGCCTCACCATCCTCTGGATGGGCTGGGGAGTGTATTCAGTCAGAAAGCACTGAGGAGCTCAGTGAATTGTGTTATGTCCATCTAGGGCTCTGAGTTGTCAGTACTCAAGGACAGACATCGAGGCCATGTGCGACATGAAAGATGGAGAGTTTGTCAGGACTCTGAGAGCCTGGCGCAGAGTCAGCTGTACTCTGTCCTCAGAGAAACTCTGGGGATGACCATGTCTAAAAGTGATTAGATTTGGTAAGGTAACTCAATGGTAGAGCGCTTGCCTAGCATAGGCAAGGCCCTGGGTTCAGTTCTCAGCACTGAAATATTTGTAGATGGATTATATAGATAGTTATATACAGTGTATATATGTGTGCCATGTGTATATGTACATACATCACATATATTACATACATACACATATCTTTCTCTATAGATGTACATATATAAATTTTTTATAAAGAATGCTGGGCATGAGAGATCACATTTATAATCACAGCACTAGAGAATCTGAGGCAGAAGGATTGCCACAAATTTAAAGCTAACCTGGACTGCATAGTGAGTTTAAGGCCAGCCTGGACTACATGAGCTTGTCTGAGCCTCAAAAAATTTAAAGTAACCAACCAATAAACAAACACAAAACAAATTATAAAACAGTCTAAATTACCAAATGAAAAATAATTTAATTTATAGGCCATAGGGGATGAATAAAATTAGAAATGAATACCTAAGATTAAAGACATTAAAAATTATTTTTCTCACAGAACTGTTTATGACAGACTTAGATGAGTCTCTTAATGACATCAACCTCACTGAAACAAACCTTCATATGGTAGACTTCAGGTATAAAATATATGAGAAAATGTACAATAGAAATTACCAACTAAAACTGAACCAATGCTCTTGTTTACCAAGAGTTGCATGGACTGAACATGGATGGTGCCATCAGCCCACTCTGTCATTCAATCTCATTATCACATAACATCATTATAAAATGAATTCAATGAATAGCTGTAAGCCTCATTTCCACATGCTTAAACTCTTTGAAACTTATGATAATCAACTTTACAACTTCTGGCCAAAGAAATCTATCTAGTTTCCAGAGAGCTCAGACTCTAATAACCATCTACCTAAAACGGTTAAGTAATCCATCTCTAATAGTGGGGTTTACCTAGGCACATACCCCCATTGAATAGCTTATGATGTGCCCTCTGACTCCTCCTACCCCAGCAGAAGTGGCCTTTGATGGAGAAGCCCGATTTGGATTCTGAGGTTCAGAAGGGTAGTTAGTACCTTGGTTATTTCCTTGTGTGGACTCTGAGATGCTGACTCCGAGCTGGCTGCCATAAGAGTTGATCCCCATCATGCCACTGTGAGCTGGGGAGCTGGAGAGAGCTGGAATCTGACTGGGGTTCCTGGGGACACTGTACAGGGCTTCTGCAATGTCTGCTGCACGCTTTAAAATGATGTCCTACAGAAAGGCATGCTGGGGTGAGCACTGTATCCAGAATCAGAAGTCAAATGCAACAGAGCAACACAGTGTTAGACACACGTATCTAACCTGGTTATTGTGGGGGGTGCCGTAGAGGGCTTCCACTAGGTCCGCGGCTCTTTTCAATAGCATTTCCTGAGGAAGAAAAGATGGGGTGGGTGCAATCAAAGACAAAGCCCCGATGGCAAACTGGAAACTTATAGATGAAAACAGAGTCCACATATAGCCTACAAATGTAATGACCAGGAAGTTTGGGCTTGATATTGGGTTTGATGAGCAGGATATAATCACATTTACAGGTTCTACAGATGGGTAGCTGGAGAAATGCATCACTATAGAATGGCTCTACAACGATTCATGCTACTCAAAACACCCACCAACCAAGGCCAAAGTCAGTTAAAATTGATAGTCTTGTCTATTCTACTGAAAGCAACTTTGAGGTCACTGTACTTAAAAATCCTGGTACTCTTAATTAATCAGATAGTCTTTAAGTGATTGACGGGCCTGACTTTAGTTGCTTGCCAAGGAGTTGACAAACCACTGAAGTTCCCTTGCCAATACCTACTCAAAATTTTATTCTGATAAAGAATTCTTTCGATTAGTATTTCCTCTTGTTCATCTTAATCAGCAAGAATTAGCAATCACTAATTGCCACCCTCCCCTTCTCCCTTTCCCACCTCCTGTTTTTTGTGGGGATTTTCTTGTTGTCATTTTGTATTATGTTTTATTTACGACGTTTTAAATTGTTACTCAACAGCTGTCCAAGTATCATCTGACTTCATGGGGCTGAGTATTTCCGGGAGGAAAAGAAAGGTATGTTGTTGAAGTCACTGGCATTTGGCTTTTTATCCAAATATAGAATAAAGAATATGTCATTTCATAAACTGCACGTTGGAAGCACAAATATAAATGTGAAAATTTGGCAATTTCTCTTTAGTCAAATGGGATCATTAAACGGGCTTATTTCTAGGTAAAGAAGATGATGTCACGAGCTAGGTTTAAGGTGAAGTTTTCTGAACAAGTTCATTCACAAATGATCCCATTCATTGGAAGGGGTCATTTTATCATCATTAAATTCTTATGTACACAGTAGGCCTTCCATGAATGGTTGCCTGCAGATTGGCGATTCACAGTGGTTAGTGCTGAATAAGAATCCTGCTTAAATACACAGGAGTGAAACTCACACTTTCAAGCAAGGGTGCAAATATTTGTCTTTACACAGTTGGAAGTGTTTTATAAGCTGGCTATTCTTGTAGCATGTCTGTTTTATGAGACCAAACTTTCAGGTTTCACATTCTGTCAGATATTAAACATAATGTATTTCAAAATTAGCAGAAACCTTATGTTCATATTGTTATCTAAAGCATAGCCAGTTTCAAGGCTTAATTAATTTTAATGGGACTCAAATGATTTTGATTTCAAATGGTTTTGTCTGAATTTGCTGAGTGTCTACCAAAAGATGTTCATGTGTCAATTCCTAGCAACCTTACCTTGGCTAACCTCTCGGGGTCCCCTGGGTGCCTTGGGATGACTTTCTGTAGTCTCTGGAAGCCATAGTCTATGGTGGGTTCATTTAAGGCTGAAAGACAAAGCCGTTGTTTCTTTGAGTACACACCTGGACCATAAAGTACTTCTTCCATGAAATCCTTCACGGGCATTAGAAGAGTTCTGATGCTTTCTAAGACTTACTACATGATGCTACAACCAGTTAGGGGATTGTGTTGTTGACACTGGTTAATTCACACAGCAGTTTGGAATTTGTAGTAAGTCTCCATTTACCATTAAAATGACAAGTCCAAGTTTCAACATCTTTGCCTTAAACACAATTCCCTTAAATCCTCCACTTGCGCTCACGTCATCAGAGCCAGCCATGTGCCAGACACAGCCAGTCATGTGCCAATTAACTTCTGTCTTCCACCCTTCGTTAGTTCTTCCCTTCTTCCTTCTTCTCTCCTTCCTTCCTTCCTCACTCCTTCCCCTTTCCCCTTCCTCTCTTCCCTTCATTTTCCTCTCCCCTTCATCCCTTTTCTTCCTTTCCCCCCTCCCTCCTTTCCTTCCTTTATCTTCTTCTCATCTTTCTTCTTCAATCCTACGGGGTTGAACCCAGGGCCAAGCAAGCACTTTATCACTTAGCCACGCCCCAGCCCAACTAGACCTCAGTCTTGGAAAGACAATAAACTTCTTCTGCATCATTTTCCTTTCTCTCCTTCCCTGTTTCTCTTTCCCAAGTAAATATTCTCATCTATTTACCCTTCTAATATTCCCTTTTCTTAACCATTCTCTTAAATATTTGCATTTATGGTTGATATCACTCTCAAGGACACTAGTCTAATGCAAACTACACTTTTCTTAATTTGCAATTATGTGAGACTTCTCTTGCTTTCCCAGAGGGTCAGGCCCTCCACACAGTCTCCGAGGGCTCAGGGAGCTGTATTTATTTTGTCTCACGATGGAGTCACTGGAGTCACATGACTAATGACAGAGCCTGACGTAGGATAGACATTTAACTTGGTAACTATAACACAAGTCAGTGAGCAATGGGATGTTGTAACGTGGCATTTCTCCTAGTTTAAAGAGTCCTCCAGAGTCGGTCCCTTATCTTCCTTCCTCCTTCCTTTCCTTCTGTTGAAACTTTAAGATTTTAAAATTAATACATGACCAAAGCAAAGGCAAAAAATATAAAACATAAAATGATAATTTCTCGCACTCTTGTTAGGCAACAGCAAACACACGGGAGCATATTTTTAAATTTTCCTCTTTCCATACATATTTTATAAATAACCTGTTGTTATTAGGCTACCAAATGATACCCTTTCTTTAAAAAATATTATAAACCATTAATTACTTTGAAAAAAAAATAAAATCACACATAAACCCACCACTTCAGAAACAACCAGGCTTAGATACCCCAAACAATACAGGGTATTGTTTTTGCTTTCAGTGGCCCACCGGAATTTGATGGTAAGACCCTATTGCTCAGGACACCATGGACTTTGGTAATAGGTCATGGAGAAGGCAAGTTGGGATGCTTCCTCCCTGTTGACTAGCTTCATAGCATTGAAGGTGTATGTAGTCTGGTTGGGGGATGGTGAGGAGGAAGTGATCAACCTTCTTGCCCATCTATGAAACCTGTGAACTATAGGAATAACCAGAGTGGAAGACAGGCCACGGGGTGTAATACTGGCAAGAATGTTGTGAGGGTCACCAACCGCTTTCTAATTCTGGTCTGTTCTACTATAGAAAACACATGCTTGGCACTGTAATCTGGCCAACAACCCATAGTTGGGATGCTCTTGGCCTTGGAGTAAACCTACTACTTTTTTTATACCATGGTTTGGCTAAACTAACATTCTATCGAATTGTCCTATAAACCCTTATCCCTCTATCCCTAGAGTAATACAGCTCTCAGTTCTTATTGGAGAAGCTTCTTGGTACGGTGGCTGAAGCACCTTGTCAAAGCATAGACAGTAAGTGTTCATCTGCAAACGGGATGTCTTTATCTCACGTCTTCCCTGTAAGGCTCGGAACTACAGAGGAAAAGGTAGCAGAAGGATTGTAAGAGCCAGTGTTTCCCAGACACAACGGGATCATTGTACTCATACACTCTCAGCAGCTGTGTTTTCTGGCCAAGACCTGAGCATCACGCTGGTCAACACGGAGGAGGGAAGGGCTCCACAAGCCCTCACCCCACCCCCAAGCCAAGGGGCTATAGACAGTTGGTGGCTTCTTTAAGAGTGTGGTTCCTGGCAGGTCAACCACGCTCTAGCGTACGGCCCCACACCTGTGCGTATTCAGACAGCACAGATTGGATCCAGCGGGTTATTTTAAAGAGAAAAGGACAAGAAGCTGAGAGGTGGTGAGGAGGTAGGGAGGAGATGTGGGAGACGTTGGGGGAACAATGGGGTGGGGGTGAACATAATCCAAATACATTGTAAAAAATTTTCAAAGAATTAACTAAAGTATATTTTTAAACGTTGAATTAATGGAATAGGGTGGAGTATTTTCACTTTCTACTTCTTTGTACTAGCTGAATTTTGTACAATAAAATTCTACTCCTGTGTTAATAAAGAAAATAATTCAAGTATTTCCATTTGGGTGACAGAAAATGAGATGCTCAGGATTATCACCTTGGCCTATATCCTTCCAGATTTAAACACACGTACTTAAAATTCCTCTGAGAAAGTTGATTTATCCTGTGACATCACCTACTTCAACCCACCTAGTAATACAGTGTGCCATGAGCGTTCCCTCTGCTAGCTAAGGATTCTTTTATGACAATATTTTAAATTCCTGCATATTTCCCATGGCATGGTCTATAATTTATTTAAATGGCTTCCTAATTTGGGCATTTAATGTGAACCTAATTTCTCACGATTATAAAAACCAAAGCAATAATTATCATTTGTGCATAACTTTAATTACTTCCAACAGAAAATGCCAAAAATTAGAATTACTGGACCAAAAATTATGATTTATATTTAAGGCTTTTCACACATACTATCAAATCACTCCCTGGAAGAATATGCAAATTTATACTCCCTCCCACTATGCATTTAATTATTTCAACTTATAATTATTTTTTTTTAATTTCAACTGATAATTCTTTATTCATCAGTGAGGTTAATGAATTTTTTTCTTATATTGCTACTATTTTAATTTCTACTTTTTTGTGAGGTGCTTGATACTTTCCACTTTTCTTTTTCTTTTTCTTTTTCTTTTTCTTTTTTTTCAGTTTGGTTTTTTGAGACAGGGTTTCTCTGCGTCCTGGAACTCACTCTGTAACCAGGCCCACCCTGAACCTGGAGATCTGCCTGCTTCTGCCACCCAAGTGCTGGGATTAAAAGCATGCACCACCACCGCCTGGCCAGTTCTCTGCCCTAATAGAAATTAATTTCTTTTTCTCCTTTACTCAAGAACACTTTATTATGGTTTGAGTGTGAAGTGTCCTCTGAAGACTCACATTTGAACACCCAGTCCCTAGCTGGTGCACTGTTTTGGCAGGTTGGTGGACCTGTGAGACTATGGCCTAGGATGCTGGTCACTGGGGAGAGACTTGAAGGGGACATCCATGTCTGCTTCCTGCCTGATGCCTCCTACTCCTGGCAATAGAGGATGAGCCATCCTTCCCTGCCGTGGTGGACTCTGAATCCACAGTCAAAACAAATCCCTCCTCCTTTAAGTCGCTTTTGTTATGCAATTTGTCCAAGTGGCAAAGTATTTAATATGATTACATCTTATGGTAGGTCTGTGGTATGTGTACGCCTGTGTGTTAAATGTGTATGTGTGATGGTATATGTCCATGTGTGTATGGTATTCATACATGTGCTTTGTGTATGACAGTATATGTATGTGTGTGGTATATATACATGTGTGTATGGTATATATACATGTGTTTGTGTGTGTGGCTGTATATTATGTGTGTGTGGTATATATACGTGTGTGTGTGTGTGTTTATGTTCAGGTGGAGTCCAGAATTTTTATTATCTTCTGTTACACTCCACCTTCTTTTTCAAGAAAAGATCTCTCACTCAACCTGCTGCTCATTGATTAATAAGACCAGCTGGTAATGCTTTGCTGTCTTGTTTAATGAACCACGCGTGTGCGTGGTTCATGTATGTGTGTGTGTGTGCGCGTGCGCACGCGCGCTCAGCAAATGCACATTTGTGTATGTGAGTGTGTGCACTGAGCGCAGGTGCTCATAGAAGCCAGAGGTGGTAGGTCCTCCTAGAGCTTTACTTACAGATGGTTGTAAGCTGCCTGATGTAGCTGCTAGGAATCGAACTCAGGTCCTCTGCAAGAGCAGTACCTGCTCTTAACTATTGAACCATCTCTCCAACCCTTGTTCTATTTCTATTATTTTCCAAAAGAATCTCAAGCCCAGCTCCCACACATCCTCCAAAGCAACCCTACGCATACTAGCACATGGCACAAAGTCCTCATCATGCCAACAACACTAGCCTAGCTCCAAGCAGTAACAGCATGTGCAATAATAGTTCATCTTGATTGCCAGCTGGGAGTCCCTAGGAGACACACTCCTGGGTATGTCTACGAGGGTATTTCCTGAAAGAGAGGAAACCTACTCAGCATGTGGGTATCACCATCCCAGGGGCTGGAGTCTCGAGCTGAATTAAAAGGAGAAAGAGAACTGAGTTCTGGTGTTCATTTCTACATCCTGACTGTAGAGACAAGGGATCCTTTTGCCTCCCGTTCCCACCACTGCACCGCCCCTGCCTTGAGGGACTGTACCCACAAATTCTGAGCCTACATAAATTCGTCCTTCTTTAAGTCACTTTTGCCAGATGCTTTGTCCCGGCAATGAGGAAAATAACGAATATACTACGTCTGTGATTTTCTTTCTTTCTTTCTTTTTCTAAAAGTGTCCCCCACATATTTTGGGGTGGGAGGTGTATGACAGACTTGCACTCAGCGCTCCCTCTTATCCAGAGCACGGGTAAGAAGCGCTAGATGCAGAGCTGAGACCATCCTGTGAAAGTTTTCCCACTTAACCTTATAGTGCCAACCGCTGTAGAAGCCTGGTTCACAGATGGCCGGCCGCTGGCTGGATTATGCAATGGTGGC